TTGGATATACAAGTAAAAAATATTTATTTTTCTTTTCATATTTCTATCAACAAGGGGTAATTAAACTTTTATGATAGTTATTTTTCTGTTGGATAAATGACTAGCCATATAATTTTAATCCTTTCTATCTTTCAAATAAAAAATAGTATATTAATTATATATAAGTTAAAAATATTTATCCTAAAATTTATGGTAATGTTCCAACACCGTATCAGTTTGACAAATATTTATGATAGCTACTTTTTTGTTGGATAAACAACTAGCCATATAATTTTAATTCTTTGTATCTTTTAAATAAAAAAACAAAATAAAAAAATGGTATCATTAATTTTTAGTGATATAATATATTAATTATATAAAAATATTCATCCTAAAATTTATGGTAATGTTCCAACACCGTATTAGATTGATAAATATTTATGATAATTATTTTTCTATTTGATAAATAACTGGCCATATAATTTTAATTCTTTGTTTCTTACAAATAAAAAAATAAAAAATGATAACATTGATTTTTAGTGAGATTAAATAATAATGATATATAAGTTAAAAATATTCATCCTAAAATATATGATAATGTTCCAACACCTTATTGAATTGATATTATTGCATAATAATTTATTAAACCTGAAAATAGAGTAATTATTTAATAAATTTCATTCTAGTGATCATTTGTCCTTTTTTATATATTATATTTTTTAATTTTGGTAAATATATTTTTAAGAAAATATTCCCCGAGGACTCCTAATTTTAAAAAAAAATCCTTAGATTTCAATTAAAAAAAAAATTCAAATTAAATTATATGAAAAAATATTCAAGTTTGCATATTTCCAAGTAAATCACTCAAAAAATCACAAATCAAATTCACAACAATAAAATCCCCAAGTAATTCTTCAAGTAAGAAAATTCCTAAGTAAATCCCCAACAAAACTCAAAGAACATGAATCCCCAGGTAATACCACATAAAAAATATTTCTAGATAAATTTCCAAGTAACTATTTGCAAATAAATTTATCTAGGAATTTTCTTACTAGAAGATAAAAAAAAATCCTTTTTTCATTACTTGCGAATTTACCTATGAAAATGATACTTACAAATATTTGCCACAAATAATTCCCCAGGTAATAATTTTGCAAAATGGTGCCAAATTTACCCATCAATTTTTCTGGAAAACTATTTTTCGCAGGTAAGAAAGTCTATAATTTAGGAATTTCATTTTTCCGCTTGAAAATTAGTGGGAAAATTTCTGCTGAAATAATTCTCAAGAAAAATTCGCAGGTAATTTACAGTTTTCTAGTAGTGGCTTAAACAACCCTTGGCAATGGCAATTGCAGAAGTAAGAAAGAAATCAAGAACTAAACATAACATAATAATGCAAAACTCTTAATATAACATAACTTTTCCCCAAAACCTAGTGTCACGTGTACAAACCTCTAAATAGTACAACAGATTCAAAAGAAGTACAAGTCTACTATACTGAGATAATAGAAAAACATAATCAAGAGTATGTAATGACTGTTGAGATGGTCACGAACTCCAAAGGCAAGTCTCGAATGAAGATGCGAGAGGATGATCAAGATGATCCAGACTCGTAACCTACACAAGTGTGGAAAGCAAGGGAGTAAGTATCAACCAATAATGGTACTCAACAAGCGTTCCTAGCTAACCCTAAGTAAAGTGATATCGAACACAAGCACCCTGTCACACTTTCTGAACCTCCTCAAACTGCAATATGCATAGAATTTAGAACCAGCCCATCCTAACAGTTTCGCAAGTATAGAACACGTTACAAGTAACACACCATTATTCACATAGCAGAGTCTCCATAATATCATTACAACCTGTCAGATCTAGATAGCCACGAATGTTGACACTCAATTTTGACCCTCCACAATATAAATTAATCACCGAGCTTCTTAAATTTCCAACGATGTGAAATAATTGACTTTATAAAATTCAAAATATTTTCCAAGTCATTTTAAGTAATCCTGTCATCTTTATGATTTTTAAACTAATATATGTATTCTATATAATTTTGTATGTATTTATTACATTTTATGAATATTTAAAAATCATCTCTAAAATGATTTTATTTTTTAGTAAATATTTTACTAAATTAGTTTATTTTAAATTACGGTTATAATTTTGAATCATTAGTTTACAATTAAGTTAATTATTTTATTTGTTAAGATTAAGAAGCTCATAAATTAATTATATTAATTTATCCTATTCAAATTTTAGCCTAATTTGCAAATTAACTCAATTCGGTTAACTTCTTAAATCTAATTGGCTATAATTGAAATCCATTGACCAAATCCTCAATTCAAAATTTAACCATTTTCTTCAACTCATTTTTAAAAGACTAATTTTGGGCCAATCTAGCAGCCCAACATCATTCCCCAGCCCACCAACAATACAATATTTCTCCAATAAACCCAAGAGGAACTTTCACATATGGCCACTCAAAATTAGCCTAATTACTCTTCATAGCTATAGTTTAATAATTACAATTCGTAGCTACATGTTATAGGGAAGAGAGAGGCGAGTGAGACTGGGAGAGAGGAGAGAGAGGCGAGCGAGAGAGGGCAAACAATGGGAGAGAGGTGAATTGTATATGTATATCGGTAGATAATTGTATATTATACGTATGTATTTGTATTGTCACGACTCAAAATGAGTCATGTGTGGCACCCACACTTAACCTCCTAAGTGGGCGAACCAAGGAATCTAAACCCCAACATATATCAATAATTTAACTACGAATAGCAACAATAATGCGGAAGCTCAAAACTTATTAAAGTAACCAATCAAATAAACATCTAAAGTCTAACACTTATTATCCCCAAAATCTGAAAGTCATCACATCAAGGACATCTAATCTTCAACTACTAAGTCTAAGAGTATTAAAGACACCAAAATAAATGAATAAAATAGTTTATGTTTGAAAACTAAGGACATCATGCCATGACCAAGAGAATTCGACACGAGCTGGAATGAATAGCTCACCCTGGAACCTGATGTGCCGGAGACTGGCTAGGGCTGAGGGCGAGTCGAAGTCACTGATACACTCGATGCACTCCACAAAAAGAAAACAAAGAAAAACACAAGTAGGGCTCCGTACAGGGCAACATGTACTGAGTAGATATCACCGGCCAACCCAAAATAGAAACTAATATGTAATGAATAATAGTATAAATCAACTATGACACTTAGCTCCTTTAAATTCTATTCGAGCAGTGCCCCAACATCTCTCAAAACTTTCCATACAACCACGTTACTCACTAAATAGTAGAAAATCGCAACCTTAGATACTCACAAGTCATTATTACCATACAAAATTCATTTAATCAACAAATCCTAATTATATAGTTTCATCCCAATCACAATCCCTCACGAACTCTTTTTACCATCATGCTCAGTTAGCCTTTGTCATCACCACGAAGTGAACCTTTTCCTCGACCTGCCACCTTAAACTTAGGTATACCAATCAAATTCAAGGGACTAACCCAATTTTATACACGCTTTCTTACTAAAGTCTTCAATTTACTTCACCCAAGTATACTCAATAGGACTTTCTTTCCCTATAAGTTTGTCATTCTAGTATCAATCTACCCTTTGAAGCTTAAGATAAAATCACCAGTCCTCATTCAGAACCCTCAAGATACATTTCACAACCTAAATGTATTAATACTGTACCAAAGATCCACCACTAAAATTTTCCTTAAAAATAATGTTCAATCCAAGCGTCCGTAGTAATAAACTAGTTGATTTCTCAAATGTGAAAGCAACACCGAATCTCATTATCTAAATATGTCATACCACTAATAACTCCTTAATTAAGTAGTTAGTATTCACACTTGACAATCGATGTATTCGTTTCCATGTAACAC